TCAAATACAGAGTAGTTAGTTACCATAAGAGTAGGTTAGGAAATAATTATAGTAATTCAAAAAATGCTTAAGGTAATCTACGTTTTTCCAAGCTCTCTTTGTCGATATTTTAAATTTTGTACAAGTTAGGTTGACACAAGCAGGCTTAACCATCATACACTTTCTCAGACAAACTTAGCCTGTTACAGATATAAAAACTTTTCATATTACGTTAATTAACTGTATGATTCAGATGCTTACTATTTACTTTTATTACGTTCACTTATGATTACTTTGACTGTAATTAATGGATCTTAATTATTAGTTTATCACTTAATAAGGTGGAAATTTTCAGCTTTTCCTCGGATACGCAAAACTTGATTTGTTTAGAAATAAACCCAGGTAAACGTAAAGAAGTAAAGTTAAATGAACTTTTAAGATTTGAAAACAAAACGATTTTTCTACATTCTATGACTTATTGTGGTTAAAGAAAGCCTCCCCATTTTCAATGATCACCCAACACTAAATAATAACATCAATTCCTCCCTGTTGTCATTAATGTAACCAATTCCAGATTCTCAGTGTTTTTATTTGATATTTATTATTATTTTAAAGACGCAGTGTTTATACTTATGTTTAAGCCTTTCTCTACAATAGTTTCTTTTAACAATGTTATTTATTAAACATGTGAATGCCGCACGTTTTATCGTACATGTCATTATATTGTTACCGTTTAAATCTGTTTTTTTTTAAACTTCTGATTGAATACGAAAACTCGCTCAATGCTAATGTTGTTTTTTGTAGTTCGAATATTATGAACTAATTTTTTTGAGATACTAACGCTAATGATGGAATTTTAGGAGATTCCGAAACGTTTTTACTGAAGTTGTTTTTTTTGGTATTACCGTGTTTTTAATATTTATTATAATTTCGACTTATAACTAATATAGGCCACATATGTAATCGCAATATAATTTACGTTTAATAATACCCTAATTTTCATAAAAAATTATGTTAAAACAGACTTCAATTAGTGAGCTCGATTATTTGTATTTATAATTTATAATATATTCACGGAAAATGTATTTCGTCGAAGAATGTATTAAGTTGTTGAAGAATGTTTGATTCTTTATTACAGTGTTGTTAGTCGGAACCACATTCTTAAACTAATTTACGTTTATTTGTGTAATTATGAGTATACCGCATATATAACCAAAATTGATTTGAATATATTGCTTTTCCTATTGCAGTGTTACATAGTACTCTAAAGTAGAATTTTCTAAAAAGGCCTTTTTTTTATTTTTAAGTATTTATAACAACAATTCTCACCGTAAAAATAGAAATGTTTAGGGATTTTACTATGGCATTAACTAATGGTGAGATACAAAAATGAGCTTTTTAAAAGTATTGAAAACGTCGCACCTCACACAATGATAGCTGTAGAGCAAGTGTTTTTACTTTTATTTAAGTATAACCTTACGACCAAGTATGGAAACCCATTGCTGTTTTGGCCCGGTATGGCCAGGTGGTTAGGGCGCTCGACTCGAAATCTGAGGGTCACGGGTTCGTATCCCCGTCCCAACAAACACGCTCGCCTTTTCAGCTGTGGGGGCGTTATAATGTGACGGTAAAAGAGTAGCCAAACAGTTGGCGGTGGGTGGTGATGATTAGCTGCCTTTCCTCTAGTCTTACACTGCTTATTAGGGACGGCTAGCACAGATAGCTCTCGTGTAGCTTTGCGCCAAATTCAAAACAAACAAAGAAACAAACGAAATGGTTTTGCCTTTTTTCTCTATCACGTTTTCATTGAAATCGGATCACAATTTGTTATGCTTAAAATGTTGACAACTACTGGCTATAGATTTCTCTAGACAAATCGCGACGTGAGAGCCTTATCGATCGTTCTAGAGCCCACGAGAAACACACCGCTAGTTGACATTTCTGGATAGTATTTGTTTGCGCATGCACTTTGACATTATTATTTTTTCAATAATATTTATTCATTGTTATGGCAACAAAGAGGATGTATAAATGATCCAGACATATTCTGCTATATTTCTGGTAAATTTGTTGTGTAAAGAAACCTGATACCAGAATCGAAAACATTGAACGTGAAATTTCGGTTGACACAGAGAAAGTCCTATTACCTCCACTTCACAGAAAACTGGGTTTGATGAAGCAGTTTGTAAAGGTCTTAGACAAAGATGGCGACTGTTTCAAGTATCTATGTGGGCAAGTCCCAGCTCTTTCAGAAGGGAAACGTAAAGAAAAAATTGTTGTTGGGCCTCATTTTAAGAAACTGACTTCGGATGAACAGTTCGAAAGGACGATGACGAAAGTTGAAAAAGAAGCGTGAACTGCCTTTTAAAATGTTACTGACATTTTTTTTAGAAAACAACAAGAACCCAAATTATGAAACTATTGTCAATAATATGCTCGATAAATTCAAAGAGTTGGGTTGTAATATGAGCTTGAAAGTTCATTTGTTACACTAACATATTGACTATTTCCCTGAAAATATCGGCGCCGTCAACGAAAAACAAGGGGAAAGGTTTCATCAAGACATCAGGAAAATGCAGAGGCGGTATCAGAGAAGGTGGTACATCAGCATGAAGGCTGATTTCTGTTGGTCATTGAAACGAGATGCTCCAGACGCAATGCTTAAAACAAAGACTTTCTGTATTAGCTTGGGGTACCAATATCCTGTTTTCCGCGCTTACTCTATTAAGTATAGTTGAACGATATTGTGACTGAAAACTCTCACTAAGTCAAGCCTACCCTTTAACATTAGGAAATCAACGCCGTTAATTCTTGAAGAGTCATTTCTGTTCATTGTTGTTTTTCGGTTAGACGAGTATGATTAAAGATTAGAAGAAGATATGAGGGGAGGGGGTTAAGATCCCCTTGATAATCATAACATTCAAGCAAATTAACGATTAACAAAAATGGGTAAATATAATATATGGTTGGAGACGGCTTGAATAGGTAATGAAGAAAAACTTTAATATAAGTTTAACATATCAAAACCTTGTCGAAACGTTGTACATTTGCTGCTATGTTAAACTTATACTAAAGTTTTCTTCATTACCCATTCAAGCCGTCTCCAGCCATTATTAGTCTCAAAGTGGGTTCCTCGTCATCGAAAATACAATATATGTTCGAATTACACAGGCCTGTGATGGTTTTATTGTCATGATATTTGTACATGTTCTACAGTAATTCCTGTATGCTGAATCCGAAAATAATATCCATTTTTCTTCATCACGTACAGATTTTTTCTCAAAACATCATAACGCAATACATAAAACAAAAACCACAACACGTAGTTTGAGACTAAAAGACGTAGATTTCACACACAAAAAATAGGATGAATGAGGATACATCAATGTTCTTCCCTTTTCTTCAGTTTGCTTGTATTTTTGTTAAGTAATATAAGAATAAAAATGTTCAT